AAAACCCTATATGCTTGGAAATTACCAAAGCATAGCTCTTAAAGAAAGCATGACAGAACTGAGAAAGCACTAGAATTAAACAATGATAGTAACAGTTACATAACTAAGCCAGCCTAAGTAGTACTTAGAGGAATTTATAGTCTTAAATGCTCATACTAGGAAAAAACCAAAACCACCAAAAAAGCTAAATTGAGTATACGAACCACGCCTTTAAAGAAGTTAAGAAAATAGTAGCAAAATAAATCAAAGAAACTAAGAAAAAGAAACTACAAAGGGTATAAATACATGAAATTAAAAAACATTACATCCAATTAAAGAGTATTAAAACCAAAGCTTGATTCTCCAGATATATTTGAAACCAGATATATTTGACAAACCTAAGGCAAGATTTGCGAAGGATACAGAGAGAGAGAAATACAGAGCATGTAAGCGTGCAATGACAAGGCACATTAAGGCATTGTGGCACAGCGAATTAAGCTGCCCCTTGCAAAGCCAGCATCCCACATCAGAGTAGGAATTTTGAGTCCTGGCCGCTCTCTCTATAATCCAGCTCCCTGCTCATGTGCCTGGGAAGGTAGCAGCAGAAGGGGTCCAGGTACTGGGGTCCCTGCCACCCACGTGGAAGACTAAGATGGAGTTCCTGGCTGCTGGCTTTCATCAGACTCAAATCCAGCTGCTGTAAACCTTTTAGGGAACGATCTTGCTAATCCCTCTCTCTAGTATACTGTCTTCCAAATAAATAAATCTTAGGGGGGAGGGAGAGAAAAAGAAAACAGGGACGTTAGCATACACAGAAGTGTTATAGGCCTGGAAGAGTATGAACTTTGTGCCAATAACTTAAAAAAATGTAGATTAAATTGCTAAATTCTTGCAAATACAACCCAAAAGGAAAATAGTCTTCTAATTGTTTTAAAAAGAAAAGTTTGGCCACACATGGCTTCACTGGTAAGTTTCATCAACAAATTTAGGACAGTGACGGCAATTTTGATTGTATTCTAAAAATATTTAAAAGCCTAGAATGCTCCCTAGCTTTTTGAGTTCGGCTAACCAGGCAGTTACAAACACAAGAAACCAAGGGAAATTAAAGGCCATTTTCACTCATAAACATAGCTGAAATCTAAACAAAACATTAGCATACACGATCCAACAGTGAATTAAAAGAATGGGCCAATTTAGACTTTTTCCAGGAATTTAAGGGTGGCTTAAACAAACAGATACGAACGAGCAGGGGCCTACGCTGTAGCATAGTACGTTAAGTCACCATTTGCAACACCAGTATCCCATGCAGGTTGGCTTTCGCAGCTGCTGACGTGGAAAAGCTGCCGCAGAGACCTACCCACCTGGGAGACCAGGATAGCGCTCCTGGCTTCTGGCTTCAACCTGGCTCAGCCCTGGCCATCTTGGGTACTTGGGGAGTGAACTAGAGGATGGAACATCTCTTCTGTGTGTTTCTTTCCCTTAATTGTCACTGTGACTTTCACATAAATATATATATTTTTAAGATTTATTTATTTTTATTGGAAAGTCAGATATACAGAGTGAGGAGAGATAGAGAAAGATCTTCCTTTCGCTGGTTCACTCCCCAAGTGCCCTCAACAGCCAGAGCTGAGCCAATCGAAGCCAGGAGCAGGAGCCTCTTCCAGTTCTCCCACGTGGGTGCAGGATTCCAAGGCTTTAGGCTGTCCTCTACTTTTCAGGCCACAAGCAGGGAGCTAGAAGGAAAGTGGCGCAGCTGGGATTAGAACCGGTGCCCATATGGGATCCAGGTGCATTTAAGATGAGGACTTTAGCCACTAGGTTACTGTGCTGAGCCCCATATAAATAAATCTTTAAAAAACACTTATATAGGGGCTGCCATGGTGGCTTAATAGGTTAATTCTCTGCCTTGCAGTGCTGGCATCCATATAGGTGCAACTTTGAGTCCTGACTGCTCCACTTCCTATCCTGCTCCCTATTTATGCCTGGGAAAGCAGCAAAGGATGGCTCAGCTGCTTGAGCCTCTGCACCCACAACAAGACCCAAATAGAGGCTCTTGGCTTTAGATTGGCTCAGTTCTGGCAGTTGAAGCCATTTGGGGAGTGACCCAGTGGATGCAAGACTTTTGTATCGCATTCTCTGTAAAACTGCCTTACAACTAAAAATACATAAATCTTAAAAACTATGAATGCAATTCATTACATTAACATTAAAAGAACATAAATTACCTCAATTAATACAGAAGAGTTCTTTGATAAAATTCAATGTCTTGTGACAAAAAGAAAGCATTGTTAGCGAACAAAAAATAAAGGAGAACCTCTTTAATTTGATAGTTTCTAGAAAACCACACCAAATCCTTTCAAGTGAAAGCTAGAAACACTCTCTTAGGATTGGCACTAACTCAGTGTGCTTACTGAGCCATTCCCATTCAGGATTACACTGGGGGTTCCACCAATACAGTAAAACCAGCTGTCCCCCCAAGTATGATTCACTTTTACAAGAGGTGGACTGGAAAAACAAGAAACCAAAGTTGTCATTCTTTGCAGGTGATATCACTATTTACAGAAAACTAACAATAATCTGAGTAGAAGTTACTAGAATAAGCCAACAAGTAACAACATGAATAGATACTGGAATAAACTACAAAATGACCTGTATTTCCATATACCAGCTGCCCCCTCCCCCCAAAAAAACCTGTTAAGAAACAAAATTCAAAAGATTCCAATTGCATGATTGCATATCCATCAAAACTTATCATACACTTAAAGTCAAGGCATTTTACTGCATACAAACTGTACCTCAAAAATGCTGTAGGGAAAAAAAAAGCTGTAGGGGGAAAAATGCAACAACTCAAGGATTAATCTAACATATACAAGACCTTTCTGGGGGAAATTACAAGACTTTACTTACACACAGAAAAGAATATACAAACAAATGAAAAGATGCTCATGGGATGGACGATTTCATATTGTAAAGACATCAAAATTTCCCCTATCTGATCTTCAGATTTGATGCATTTCCAAACAGAATCTTGACAAAATTTTATGAGGAACTCAACAAGCTGACTCTAAAATTTATATGGCAGTGCAAAGGGTAAAGCACAGAGAAGACACTTCTGGAAAAGATCACTTAATGCTTCATGGTAATTAAGATAGTGTGCTACTGGCCTGGGGATAGATAGAGGAACAGAACCAGCTTATACATATCTGGAAAATTCATTTTTACAATGGTGGCATTGTAAGCCAATGGGAAATGATGCATTATCTAGTAAGCGGCCCTGAGAGAAGTGATTATTCAAAGGCAGACAGAAAAACAGAGAGAGAAAGAAAGGAGGGTAGTCTCAACTACACCATACACAAAAACGCATTCCGGAAGTTAATGACATAATGTGAATAGGGATGTTTTCAAAATCCAAAGAAAAATGGAGAAAAAAATTTTTAATGTAATATAAAAATATTAACCAAAACCAGAAAAGAACAAAAAAGAAGAAAAAGAAAAAGAAGGAGAAGGAAGAGGAGGAAGGATTACAAGAACCAGGTGAAGCGTCCTTTGGAACGCCAAGGCACGGAGGGACACAGCCCTGGGGACAGCAGCAATGATGGAGTGTGTGCAGGCAGTCAGGCCTTCTGAGGATCAGAGCCTTCGGCCCTCACAGTGCACTCCTGCCCAGGCTCAGGAGCCTCTGCCACGCTCACAGACAGGACAGAAACACTATCAGCTCTCACTGGACAGAAGCAATGGCATGGGGGGCCAGGTGGGGCAGGAGTCAGAAGGAAAAAGAGGCAAGGGTTATCAACTTTCTCAGTGCAAAGTGGAAAGTGAAAGAAGCTAGGAGAATTTTACGGATTTTGTTTAAAATCACAAAGGAACCAACTTCCAAATGGGAAGGTGATTATGGAAAACTGGAAAGAACTGGGATGGCTTGGGATGCAGCTTTACAAAGGAGGCTGACCCCTAGTTTGTTCAGTCCAGTGGCCTCACACCAAGGAGGTAAACAAAACTTCCAAGCATCCGATGGAGACCAGGGGACCCCCAGCCCCAGCCAGCAGCATCCATTTGAGATAAGCAAGGAATTCAGAGTGAGAAATCCATCCAAGGCTGAAACCTAACTTTCACATTTTTCCTCCTCCTTACCTTCCTTTTAGCTCTCTTCCTCTCTCGGGTTCCCCCTTACTTAATACAAATACAAGCTCAGACATACAGTGTGAGGAGTAACACAAACACTGCCTCAAAAGGCCTCAGCCATTTTGTACCTGCTTTCCTTTTCCCAAAGCTCGGAAAATCCGTGCCCTTCTGGTTGTCCACCAATGAGATGTAACGTCATGGCATCTTGCCTGAGAACCACAACCCTAATCTCCTGTGGTCCCTCTCCATATCCCCACCCACTTACCAATCACCTGACCATCTCAGTCACCAATCCCTCGGGGCCCGCCCACAGCCCCTCCCCACCAATTCCCCACGCCCCCCACACCTTCCAGGCTCACCTGGGTTGGATAAAAGGAGCCTCCAGGTGTGCCCCTGCCCCTTTTCCCAGCTCTCTCTGTCCTCCTCCATCTTGCCCACTTCCCTTGCCCTAGCAGCCCCACATCCTGCCACCATGGCAGGAGATGGTTTCCCTTTTTCTATGGATATATGGATGGATGTGGAGGGAAAAGCACAGACACAAGTTTTTCTCGTGGCCAAGTCAGGGACACTAACTTAAGCCTCCACAGACAGCGCTCTGTCATGGATTGAAGCGAAGAACCCAAGAAGCACGAAGGGCAGCCCGGCTGAACTGAACCCAGCCCACTGAGGACTCTGCCAGCATTCATGTGTGACCAAGGCTGCAGGAGTCCAGTTTCCATGCAGGTGTTTATGGTGACTTGAAGAGGTGAAACCTCAAGTCCAAGTCCCCCAAGAAGGAGAGGAAAACTGGAGAAGCTCAGTGTTTGTGGGAGGCGATATTCCAGTGTTTGGCTGGGCCTGCCAGGCAGCCCTACCCCCGTTTTGGTGCACCTTGCAACTACACACAGGCTCCTACTTACACTATATGAGCGAGGTCTAGTGGCTTCTCTGGTTGCTCAGGAAAAACGGGATGTGATGGCTCTCGGGTAGGCATGCACCCCAAAGACTTGCTAATTGCATGGCTCAGCTTCTTCGCAGGGGATTTCTGTGTCAAAGCAGAAAATAGGACACAGGGAATTAACACTTCCACAGCACAATCACAAATTTCAGATAGAACTTGGAGAAGACATCTTTCCAACCACAGATCACATTGCACTGTGGACAACTTGGTGAGGCCAGGATCACCCGGAGCCATTTGGTTGGCTCTTCCCTCACCACTTAAGTGACCCCCCTCGGCAGGGAAGGCTGGCTTTCCTTCGGGATACTTGCAGGTTCCATTTGCTGTGGAGAGTGCTCTTTTGATGCCTCCCATTCAGTTTCCTAAGTGTTAAAATCAATGCCTCCCTGTTGTGTCAGGAGTCAGATAGGATAGTAGGCAATTAGTTTATAGTCCCTGGCGAAATTACTTCTTAAAATATAAAATCGTATTTCTCCCCATTTCTTAACCTTTCTCTTTTTTAAAAATATTTATTTATTTTTATTGGGAAGGCAGATATACAGAGAGGAGAAGAGACAGAGGAAGTCCAATGATTCACTCCCCAAGTGACCACAATGGCTGGAGCTTCTTCCGGGTCTCCCATGTGAGTGCAGGGTCCCAAGGCTTTGGACCATCCTTGACTGCTTTCCCAGGCTGCAAGCAGGGAGCTGGATGGGAAGCAGGGCTCCCAGGATTAGAACTGGCGCCCACTTTAGCCGCTTTACTATTGGCTGGGCCCTCTTTCTTTTCTTCCTTTTGTCCTTTGGATAAGTCCCCTGAGATGGGGAATAGGAGACACCATTTCCCCAGTTTTTTCTTTTTCCCTCCTTGTGTCTCCCTCCTGAGACTTTGGCAGGTCTGGGGACTTTCCTTCCTTGGAACCCCCTCCTGCTACTATAGCAGAAGACCGTTTCCCTAAATAAATCTTACTTTGATGCCCTGTTTTGCATCAAATTTCCTACAACACAGTCAAGGGAACTTTTCAGTAGGCCATGAAGACTCAAAGGCCAGAGTAATGCTGGGTGTGTGCAGTTCACAGACGCTGCGAGATTAACTAAGGCACATCTCGGAACATGAGAATGTTCCCAGAATATCTGCGAGGCAGAGCCCTGGGCATCTGCAGTCAGCCTGGAATGAGCACGCTCCCAGACCCAGGCAGCTGGTAGCAGACAGGCGGTTGTGAGGTGTGAACCTGTACACCCTTCCCAAGAAGGGAGAGGACAACTCAGGAAATGCAGACTACCGAGTCCGAGGCTGAGCAGTGAACCGTGCAAAGAAAGCAGCATGCCGCACTAGGCTTCGTGCTGCGGTGACTGATTTTTTAAAAGATTTATTCATTATTTATTTTAAAGATTTAAAAATTTTTTATTGGAAAGTCAGATATACAGAAAGCAGGAGAGAAAAAGATCTTCCATCCGATTATTCTCTCCCCAGGTGACTGCAATGGCTGGAGCTGCATCGATCCAAAGCCAAGAACCAGGAACTTCTTCCACATCTCCTATGTGGGTGCAGGCTCCCAAAGCTTTGAGCCGTCCTCAATTGCTTTCCCGGGCCACAAGCAGGGAGCTGGGTGGGAAGTGGTGCTGCCGGGATTAGAACTGGTGTCCACATGGGATCCCGGTGCGTTCAAGTCAAGGACTTTAGCTGCTAAGCTACCGTGCTGGGCCCACTACAGTTACTTCTAAGAACTCATATTTACAGAAGGGTCAAAGCAGATTCTATTGCCGATCCAGTTAAATAAACCCTGCTGGGATTTTCTTGGCAGGGTACTAACTTTCAGAAAAAGATAAGCACTTTCTTCCACTGCCTTTGCAGTCTGTGATCAAAAAGACCTCTCGCAGCTATGGCTTCCTCAGTACCATATCTCCTTGACTTTCGTAGGCTGCTTTTATGTTAGCAAAATAAATACAAGCCAGTTTGCCTTTAATATTCTGCAGGCAAATTACTTAGTACTAGTTTATAATAAAGATACACTGAGTAATATCAATTTCATCAGCAGCATCATATGTTGGCTCCAGATCAACCCCCTTTATCTTTTTTTTTAAGATTTATTTATTTTTATTACAAAGTCAGATATATAGAGAGGAGGAGAGACAGAGAAGATCTTCCATCTGATGATTCTCTCCCCAAGTGAGCGCAACAGATGGTACTGTGCTGGTCCGAAGCCAGGAACCAGGAACCTCTTCCTGGTCTCCCACGCAGGTGCAGGGTCCCAATGCTTGGGGCCGTCCTTGACTGCTTTCCCAGGCCACAAGCAGGGAGCTGGATGGGAAGTGGAGCTGCCGGGATTAGAACCAGTACCCATATGGGATCCCGGCGCATTCAAGGTGAGGACTTCAGCTGTTAGGCCACGCCGCTGGGCCCAATCCCCCATTATCTTCTTCAGTACACTGCATCCTGGGAGAAGTCTGGCTGGACAGGGATAAGCCAAGAACTATGCTGAGGACCCAGTGCTGGTCTCCCATACCTGCGGTAGAGACCAAGTCATGTGAACCATCACCACCTGCCGCCTCCCAGCTTGTGCAGCAGCAGGATGGCAGAGTCAGGAGCAGGGGAGGGCTCCAACCTAGATACTCTCAGCATCTTTACAGCTAAGTCAAATGCCTGCCCCCTTTGACGTTTCTTTGTCTTCCGATATAATTTCAAATTCTTTTCCATAAAGGTCCATGTTTCTCTGTTACTTTATTCCTTGATATTTTAGAGCTTTTTTAGTTAAGCAATTCTGACCTTTCATCTTTTAAACTGTGTGTAACAAAATTGACCATCTCCATAATTTTTATGCTTACAGCTCAGTGGTGCTACAAAAACAATCAACATCCAGAAATTTTCATTCAGTGGAACTAAAACTCTAACAACAGGCTAACAACGGTCCTTTGGTCTGGTCTGCCAGTCCATACTAAGCAGTGATGATGAGAATGGGCTATATCACATGCTGGCCGCCAGAGACAGTGCCGCATGACCACAGGTGTGAAAACGTCTTGGAGACACAGCTCTTGCTTCATTCCTCAAATGGCCTTGACAGCCAGACACAGGCTGGGTCAAAGCCAGCTAGGAATCCACCTTGACTTCCAACATGAGTGGTGAGTGCTCAATCAAGTATTTGGGCCAGCCTCTGCTGCCTCGTCAGGTGCGTTAGCATGAAGTTGGATCAGAACTGGAATAGCTGGAACTTAACTGGCACTGTGATAAGCGGTACCTGTGTTGCAAACGGTGGCGTAACTTCTTGGACCACTATGGCTAGCCCCTGAGGTTTTGATTTGCATTTCCTTAATGTCTACTGTCAGCATTTTTCCATGTGCTTGTTGGCCATCTGGATCTCATCTTTGGAGAACTGTCTATCCAAGCCCTTTGCTTAGTTTTCCAATTGAGTCACATGCTTCATTGTTGTACTAAAGCTCTTGTATGTTCCAGATATTAACCCCTTATCAGATAGGATTTGCACGTACTTTCTTTCCATTGCATTGGCTGCCTTTTCATCCTGCTGCATTTATTAGCTTGACAGGTCTTGTCCCTTTTGTATCTTGTAATTTAGCCAGAATCTTCCAGAATTTCTACATTAATAGTCACTGTCAAATAATAATTTTGTTTTCTTTGACTCAATCACCTGTTTCTCTTGTTTATTTTGCTATTCAGGGTGCCAATATGATATAGAATGAACAGTAAACTTTTTCTGTTTAATATCTTACCTTAAAACGCATGTTCGATACATTTTATCTGACATTTCACAAAATGGCACCCCTACAGAATGTTGGCATTGCAAATGGCAGCTTAACGTGTTTTGCCACAATGCTGGATGTGGTCTGCATTTGTTTGTCCAATGACTCTAAAATTATTGAGAGTGATATGTTGAAAGTTACACATTTTGGGGGCTGACATTGTAGTATAGCATGTTAAGCCAGTCCCCATGGCTCCAGCAGCCCAGGTGGGTACCAGCTCATGTCCTGGCTGTTCCACTTCCAATCTAGCTCCTTGCTTGTGACATGGGAAAGCAACAGACGCTTCAAGTCCTTGGCACCCTCCACCCACGTGGAAGACTGAGAAAGCTCCTGGTTCCTGGTATTGGCCTGGTGCACCACTGGTAATTTCCATCATCTAGGGAATGAACCACAACATGGAAGATCTTACCCAGAACTCAGTCCAGATCCTCATGTTGGAGGCATAACCTCAAATACTTCAAGATCACCTGCTGCCACTCATGGTGGGCAGTTTTGATAACTCAGATTTGCAGAAAGATGTCCATTTGAGGGTCTGATGTGGTAGCCTAGTGGCTAAAGTCCTCACCTTGCATATGCTGGGATCCCATATGGCCACTGGTTTTAATCCTGGTGGCCCTGCTTCCTATCCAGCTCCCTGCTTGTGGCTGGGGGAAAGCAGTTGAGGACGGCTCAAAGCCTTGGGACCCTGCACCCACATGGGAGATCCGGAGGAGCCTCCTGGTTTTGGATCAGTGCAACTCTGGCTGTTGCGTTCACTTGGGGAGTGAACCATCAGACAGAAGATCTTTCTCTCTGTCTCCACTTTCACTCTGTAAATCTGACCTTCCAATAAAAATAAAATAAATCTTTTAGAAAATTATGTCCACTTGATAACTGTTTTTCATCTGGGAATTTTGCTTGCTGATTTTCATATTTGTGTGCATTTCTATCAATGAAGCCATAATCCTTTTCCTTTTTGGTTTTATTATTCTCTTTTAAAGATTTGTTCATTTTTATTTGAAAAGCAGATTCATAGGGAGGAAGAGAGACACAAAGAGATCTTCCATATGCTAGTTCACTCCCCAAATGGCCAACCAGTCAGAGCTGAACCCATCTGAGGCCAGAAGCCAGAAGTCTCTTTTGGATCTCCCATAGGGGTACAGGGCTGCAGGGAATTCAGCTATCCTAAGCTGCTTTCCTAAGCTATAAGCAGGGAGCTGAATGGGAAGTGGAGCAGCTGGGACTAGAACTGGCATCCATTTGGGATGCTAGCACCACAGGCAGAGGATTAGCCTGATGAGCCACAGCACTAACCCCTATTTTATTGTTCCTATTTGGTTTTGTTCCTAACAGTCTTATTATCTTACTGTTTCT